TCTTCACTATCTCTATCCCCAAATTAAATCTTCATTTTTGACTTTATATAAATCTATGGTCAGGTCGAAATTAAATTTTCATTTCTGACTTTATATAAATCTATGGTCAGGTCAAATTGGTTGGATTGGCGAAATTGAGGGAGTTCAGAACAGAGTTACTAAATTGGGTTGTATACCTGCGCTACGTTACGTTATGTTATGTTATATAAAACACTGAGCCAAATTGATTCTAACTTTTACTTTCACCGCTAAAAGTCTTCATCTTAAACTTAACAGCCAGCCAGTCAGTCAGCCAGCCAGTCAGCCAGCCAACCAACAGCCAGCCAGTCAGCCAGACGAAATACTAATTAGAGAAGACAACTGAGCTAACATCTTTTTATACGCAATGGACCAGGATATCAGATCTTCATACTCCTCACCAGTGGCAGCACTGGAGGTGGGAGCAGCAGAAACAGGACCGTCCTCATCATCTTCCTCTTCTTTTAATAATTCCGAATTGATCCCATTCCTGTTTTCATCTTCGTCATTTTCATCGTCCTCACCATCGAGCCAATTGATGCTAACTTCATTTGTTGACTGCTTCAGTAGAGTCACATTCAAACTCCTTACCATGCCTGCAGTACCATTTCCATGATGATAATGATGATGGTGATGACGATGATGATAATGATGATGGTGATGATGAAGATGATGACGGTGATGATATTTATAGTGATCATCGCTAGATATATGGAATGTGCAAAATTGGGTGATTTTTCGCTCCGGAGCTTACATTTTGGATCACCATGATTGTATGGCTGTCTTATGATTTGATCCTTTTCTTCTGTCTTTCTCACACTCCTGCATTCATTCATTCATTCATTCATTCATTTATTTATTTATTTATTAAGTAATTTATTCATTCATTCACTCATCATTCATTGATTCATTCATTGATTCATTCATTCATCCATTCACCCAATTCGCATAGACTTTATTTAATTTTTCCTCTATGCATTCATACCTATATTCTGCCATTCATTCCTTCACTCACTCATTCATTCATTCATTCATTCATTCACTCATTCATTCATCTAATTCACCTTAAAAAATCTTCAACATCAGCGTAGCACAGATTCGCGTTTCCACCAATGAAAACTTTACCCCTCAAACAGCCAACCAATAGTAGTTTGGCATTCTTGTTGCTGTTGTTGTTGGTGTTTTGGTTGTTAATGTTGTTATAGTTGAAGTTGTTGTAGTTGTTGTTGATGTTATAATGATGAGAATATTCGTGATAGGTCGTTACATTACGAAAATAATCTTCATAAAATGTTAGGAAGGGGACCGTGTGCTTATTAACTATGCTCACGATGTTGTTGTTGTTGTCGTCGCTGATGACGTTGTTGATGACGTCAAAACTTCTGCTGCGAACTCTCTCCCTGTAGCAACCCCTCAGCTTCTTCATGTTGCTGAGGCTGTTCATGTGGGCGTTCGACTTGATGATCAGGGCCACACTGTTTTGTTTGTGTAAGAGGGTGATCCCGTGGTCATTGTGTATCGTCACATGATCCTCATCCATCGTCACGTGATCCTCATCTATCGTCACGTGATCATTATCTATAATCACGTGGTCATGATATATCATCACGTGATCGTTATCCATCGTCACGTGATCATTATTCGTCATCACGTGATCACTACCTTTCGTCATCTTCACCATCATCATCATCACCACCTACCCATCTGGACAGTGAGTTAGGCAGAGTATGTACTTGACATTCTTGATGACCTTGAGACTCGTAAGGACAGGGCTGCTGACGATTGCCACCTGGCCAGTGACCAACCGGATGGAAGATAAGTAGGTCGATAACCTATTTTCGTCCACTGCACACAAATCAATGGATGTTTAGGTCCATTGATGTTAATATAATAATTAATCTGAATTTATATACCTGTACAGTGTACATACATACACACGAACGAACAAACGAACGAACGAACGAACGAACGAACGAACGAAATTTTATTTACTTATAAAACTAAAAAAAATAATTCTAAGAAGACAGGATAACCATGAAAAATTTCTAAAGAAATCCATCGAGTATTGTAACCTTACAAAATTGAACAAAAATACATATTTACGCATATTCACATGCACATGAAAAACAATTATATATTTACATAGATTGTTTAAGTAAGATTGCCTTCAAGTTATTTTTAAAATTAGACGAATTATTTGTATATAGTATAAGAGTTAGAGTTAGCCAATAAGTGATTCTAGACCTTTGAACCGTTGCAAAATATATGAAAAAATAATATGTTTCTTTTAGATTTATTACATTTAATTGAGTTTTGATGTCTGCCATTCAAACTAAAATTAAAGAAATAGTGAAAAATAAGCCTACTTCTTGCTTAAAAAGCTATCTACGCGAATCATTATATTTTAAATTGTGCGTCATAATAATTAACAATTTTGTTGAGTCATTGAATTTCGATTTAGTGTGACAACTCTCATAGCCCTTTTCATACGAATTAATTCAATTCTTGCCATTTCTGTGAATTGATTTTTTTTTAAACCAAATTGATCCTTACAGATGACATTAAATTTTTCAAAAAAAGAGGTAAATTTTTTGTGAATAATCTTTTCTAAAATTTTTGAGAAACTCGAGAGTAAAGAGATTGGTCTATAGTTCATTATCTGTTTGCTATTTTTTTTTGCTTTTGAATAGAAATCACTTTCGCAACTTTGAAAACTTTTAGAAATATTCCCTTATTCAATAATAGGTTGATAAGGCGTGTCAGAACTGGCCATATTGAGCGAATAGTGGCTACAATTATTTTCGTTGGAATGTTATCAAAACCACATGCACACTTCGGCTTCAGTGATTTGGCTGCAAGATAAATGTCTGACATTGTTGCTTCATTCGGAAAAATTGAGCTCTGAATTCGGTTGGCTAGAAACTTTTTAAAACTTGTTACATTGGCAAAACTCTTAGCCAGTCTTTCAGCAACAGACATACATACATACATACATACATACACAAACAAACAAACATGCATACATAAGCAAACAAACAAACATACATACAAACCCATTTCAGAGATTTGAATAAGTAAACTCCCAATGATAAAAACACACTCCTTCATCTTCTCAGCTACTCTTATACTGTTCACTCTTCTCACGGAACATTCTTTCAAGTGTATGTATGTGTGCGTGTGTGTGTGATGTGCGTGTGTTTATATGATCCTCATCATCATTATCACCATCGTCGTCATCATCATCGTCGTCGTCGTCATCATCACTAACCGTGAGCACAATACTTGGATGAAATGCATGGCTTGCAGGAGGTCACATCTGCCGATTCTATCATCCTCCTGTATCCTATCAATCAATCAATCAATCAATCAATCAATCAATCAATCAATCAATCAATCAATCAATCAATCAATCATTCATTCAGTCAGTCAGTCAGCCAGTCAGTCAATCAATCATCCAACCAGTCAATCATTCATTCATTCATTCTTTAACACACACACACACACACACAACAAACTGGATCATGTGAAGTGGTGTGAGTCTGCATTTTAACCTGCTCACAGCAACAGCAGTGTCAGGCATCTTAACCACCAGGCCACCGAGTTAATGATGATAAACAAATAAACCATACAAACCTGGCAGACAACTTGAATAGCATTGCAGTGTCCCTGGATGAAAGTTGAGACAACCTGGGTCCAAATTTGATGTACCTTTACTATCCTCATTATCACCATGGCCGTCAGTGGAATTAGTAAAATTAGTGTATTTTGAGATGTTGTCATTGTTAGCAGTTTTGTCGTAAGGATGGTGATGGGTGGTTGTAGTAACCTGCTGGATTTCAGCTGCTGCATAATGATGATAATGTAGTATCTGTATATATGTAACTATTGCTAATAATGACTTTTCTAGGTGTGTTTGCATCTATCTAACTATCTCTATTCTATTTTACCATATAATGGTTAATTTAACTAATTTACAACTAATTAACCAGTTAGGTTTAGGAATGGCTCTCTTAGTTTATTTTATTGTCATGGCATGTTGTATAAGTGATCTGGTTGGTCAGACATTATCATGTGCATAAGTATAGTAAGCAAGCAAATCAAAATGTAAATGTTGTGTTTTTGCATGTTTTTGTCCTGGTCTCAAGTCATCATCATTTAATTAACATCTATCGAGTGTTGATTGACATTTTTCTAACTTGGTTGAATTTATTAGCTTTTTTTTATATAATTTTAATTTTTTTTTTGTTCTCAGCTCAGGCCACTGTTTTTACTTTTTACCTAAATCGATTTTTAATTTATATTATTTCTTTTAAGATAATAATTTAAATTAAATTTAATTAATTAAATTAAAAACTAAATGTTAAATAAATATAAAACTAATTTACTAGTCAATCAATCAATCAATCCAACCAATTCAATCAATAAACAATTTTTTTAACAGAGAGGATTGCGCATTTCATTGAAAAGCATAACTTCACAAAAAACGAAAGCCTAATTTTCGTCGCTTTCGTTCTCGGATTAAATGAACAACTTTGTAAAAAAAACTTAGCGACTGATTTGCTAACTGAAGTTTACTTTTAAACTTTTTTAAAAAATTGGCTTTAAAAATAAATAATAATTAGGCATTCAATAAAATTTCAAGTATATATGGAAAGTCATTCGCATTAATTCAAATTTTTATTGAAAATTAACAAAAACCTTGTCTCATTCAATGACAATTTTTAACTAAAAAAAATGTATATCAACTGAAAAATACAAAAATTTTATTACAACTCACCGTTTTTACCATTTGGCTCCGGCTGCTTTACATTAACAACCCTTGCAGTAGTCGATATGAACTTCCAAAATAATGATGACGCCGAGGTGATAGCTGCTGACGTTGTTGATGACGTAATTGTCAAAAGATCAGATCTTACATCCAACGCTGCAGTCGCCAAACCAGCCACAATAATAACATTCGCAATAAAATTCAGATAGATCATCTCAGCTATTATGCTTGTCGGAAAGTTATTCGCCAGTCAACTTAACGAGGTGCTATTACAATCTAGCATTTACATCGTCTGGTTTCATTTGGTTTTCCGGTTTAACATGTTAGACATACACACACACACACACACGCACACACACATTCATGCATGCAATATAACTATTTAGGTTCATAAACTTAAAAATTTACTTGAATATTTTTCTCGCTTTTTACAACTACTGCCAACAAAACTCTTCCCACACGACAGTTTAACAAAAAATAATAATTAATAAAATCGCATCAGCCAATAGCACAAATGCAAAACTTTCTTAACTTATATTAACTTATAACAAAAAACTTAAGAACGAAAAAGCATTTTCCAAAAGTCAAACAATCAATTACGAATTATATATATATATATATATATATATATATATATATACATCATTTGTTCCATTACTTCAACGAAACTATGTAACATTCAAACATACATTCATTCATTCACTCATATCAAACTCCCTCCATACTATCTGTTACAATTCTTATTAATTACCATTAGAAACGAACCAGACGACGGATACACAGTGAGATATATATCAGATATATATGTATCAGATATATATCAACAGCCAGCACGTAAATATCATAAAACACAACTTACACTCAACAGTTCATGTGCTTGTTTAGTGTTAACTAGTTTTTTAGTCTAATACCTATACTACGTATATGTACGGACCAAATTATAAAAATTGTTCTAGGCATTTATGAAAACAGTCAAAAACAACAATTCAGGAAAATTATTGTCTACAATTATACAACGATGTATGTATGTGTATGTGAGTATGTATGTGTTGTATGTAAATGTGTGTGTGGGTTTGTATGCGTGTTCGTTTACACACATAGTTTGTTTGACTAAAGAAAAAACAATGCAATCCTATTTTGGAAAAAATAATTAGCATTATATTACGCATACTTCTTATTATGAATTGATAAATATACATTTTTTTAAAAAATAAAAAATCTTATATATGTATAAGTGTGTGTGTGTGTGTGTGTGTGTGTGTGTGTGTGTGTGTGTGTGTGTGTGTGTGTGTGTGTGTGTGTTGGAAGACCATATTTGTGGTCTTAGGCAAAATTGACTACAATACCAAAATGGAAGTTTCTATAGTTTTTATTACTTCTTTGTTTTCATTGTTGATTAAGCGCCGGGGGGTTGGGAGTGAGGTTGTCATTTTATTTTTTGTTGTATATTTATTTTTGGTTTATTAATGTCAATTAGGACTGCTTCTGCAATTTTAAGATGCGTGTATTTTTCAGTATTATGTAAGACGTTTTTTTATTGTTGTAATAAATTCCGAGTTTAACTTTACTAATTGGGTTGGTTGGTACAAACACATTCGGTAGAATTTATAGAATTATATATATATATATATATATATAAAATTTATAGAATTACCGAAGATTTGGAACAGTTTGCCAGTCGACTTGCAAAATAGTAGGTTGTTAATTACTGAATTTCGAAGAAAGCTAAAGAACCATCTTTTCAGACAAACTTTTCATGATATGATTTGATTGAAGTGAGACATTTAATCAACTTTTGTATTAGCGCATTTAATCAACTTTTACATTGTTAGCGCCTCTGAGAATAAAGGGCGCTTTATATATAAATAATCTAATTATATATATATATATATATATATATATATATATATATATATATATATATATGCAGTCTGACCTCTACTGGACGAACTTGATAGTTCCAAGAAATAAAGTCGTTATGTAGAAATTTCGTTATATAGAATTTGGTCTGGAAAAAGATTTACATAGCTTGGAAGGTGTTTATATGTTACAAATTTATGAAGAACGATCTCTTAATCATTAATTTTTATAACGGAAAGTAATAATGCATAGTATAGTGGAAAATCTAACAACTACTGGAAAGATTGCAGAGAGAAGAGATTGCGGCCAACAAGAACAACATTCGTGAAGTCCTTGTGTCACTTGTTGAATATCACCACATTTTAACTCTTACAAAGTGTTTAAGATCGGGTTTTGTGGAGGTAGATGGTCGCCAATGTCTTGAAAGGATGAGACACGAAAAAGAAGAAAAAAGCCACTGGCGAAAAATATGAAAGTAGGTGTGTACTTACATTATACGTACCTATATAGCACACAACAGATAGGTTAAACAGTAATGCAAAAATGCAACTTGAAGTTTACAGTGTCTTTAACATTGATTTTTTTTCTAATTTGTCGAATATTTCTTTTAACTTTTATAAATTTTGTTCGCTATAGAGAAATTATTTTTCGCCCCATAAAAAGAGTTTTGTATGTAAAATTCCAAGGGGCATAAAAAAAAGTTTGTTAAATTGAGATTTTCGTTGTATATAAAGAAGTTCGTTGTAGAGAGGTCTGACTGTGTATAACAATCAATCAATCACTCGATCGTTCGATCCTGATAAGATAGATCAGATACAATGGAACATTAAAATATAACCTAGTATGTGTGTTGTATGAATGATGATAATGATGATGACGATGATGATAAGGATGATGGCCAGAATATTATTATTCAACAAAGAAAAGACAAAGAGACAACGATGATGATGACAACAAATAAATACATATATATTACGAAAGAATGCATGTATGAACAAACAAACAAACTGAATTAATGAATGAATGATCAATAAACGAATGAATGAACTAATGAATGAATGAACTAATGAATAAAAGAATGAATGAATGAATAAATAAATGAACAAATATACTCTAGAATCATAACAACACCAGAGCAGGTAGAAGAAGAACACAACACTCACAAAAGATAGAAAAAAAATAGAATCAGTCGGGAGTCTTCATCATCATCGTCATCTTACAATTTATAAAAAATAGAAAATGATTAAAAATTTACTCGAAACAAATAAATTAAAAATAATTAAAATAACAAAGTCCAAGCAAAGAAAGACGGACACACAAATAGACAGACACACAGACAGACAGGCAGCTCAACAAACACAAAACAGACAGATAAAAAGATTAATAAACTTTAAAACCAGAGAAAAAGCACACACACACCACACATACGCACACACACGCACACACACAAACACACAAACACACAGGCAGATAATGAGCGTATTAAACTTTAAAATTATAAATTTAAAAATTTATAAAATGCAGGCATTTAAAAATGCCTGTAGTAACGTCATCACATTGCATTAAAAAGATTATTAAATCATTACTTTAATTATTATAATGGTAATTACAACCATCGCTGAAATTAAATGAATGATTGGATGAATGATTGGATGAATAAATGAATGAATGAATGAATAAATGAATGAATGAATGAACGAATGAAGTAATGAATGAATGAATGAATGAATGAATGAATGAAAAAATGAATGAATGAATAAATGAATTAATAGTTATGTAGAGTTATTGATTATATATAGTCATATAGTGAAATATACGGTTATATAGATTTATATATAGTAATATAGTGTTTTTAATTATATATAGTCATATAGTGATATATACGGTTATATAGATTTATAAATAGCTATATAGTGTTATTGATTATATATAGTTATATAGTGATATATACGGTTGTACAAATTTATATATAGTTATGTAGAGTTATTAATTATATATGGTCATATAATGTTATATACGGTTATATAGATTTATATATAATTATATAATGTTATTTTTTATATAGTTATATAGTGATATATACGGGAATATAGATTTATATATAGTTATATAGTGTTATTGATTATATATAGTCACATAGTGATATATACGGTTACAAAGATTTATTTATAGTTATATATTGTTATTGATAATATAGAGTTATTTAGTGATATATACGGTTGTATAAATTTATATATTGTTACATAGTATTATTGATTATATTTAGTTACATAGTGATATATACGGTTATATAGATTTATGTTAAAATTTTGCTTGCTATAGTTATATATTTTATAAATTCATTATAAAACCAACAATAGATATTACTATATATGTACGCACGCAGTTCACATTTTTCGAGGAGAATTCAAAATAGTTTGAGACAACACGTTGCTTAACATCCGATTCCAAGCCGAGCCAAGCCAAGCTGAGCCAATAGAGTTATGAAGAGTTATTAAATATATAGAGTTATATAGTGATGTATACGGTTATATAGATTTATATATAGATATATAGTGTTATTGATTATATATAGTTATATAGTACCATATACGGTTATATAGACTTATATATAGTTATGTAGTGTTATTGTTTATATATAGTTATATATTGATATATACGGTTAAATAGATTTATGTTAAAATTTTGCTTGCTAAAGTTATATATTTCATAAACTCATTATAAAAACAACAATAGACATTACTATATATGTACGCACGCAGTTCACATTTTTCGAGGAAAATTCAAAATAGTTTGAGACCACACCTTGCTTGACATCCGATTCCAAGCCGAACTAAGCCAATATGCGTAGATTTATAAGCGCTTTAATGTTAAAATTTTGCTCGTTATATTTGTATAATTTATAAATTCATTATAAAAACAGTTATATAGTGTTATAAACGGTTATATAGATTTATATATAGTTATGTAGAGTTATTGATTAAATATAGTCATATAGTGATATATACGGTTATATAGATTTATATATAGTTATATAGTGTTATTGATTATATATAGTTTTATAGTGTTATATTGATTTATATATAGTAATGTAGAATTATTGGTTATATATAGGCATATAGTTTTATATACGGTTTTATAGAGTTATTGATTATATAAAGTTATTTTGTGATATATATGTTTATATAGACTTATATATAGTTGTGTAGAGTGATTGATTATATACAGTTAAGTAGTGTTATATACGGTTATATAGATTTGTATATAGTTATGTAGAGTTATTAATTATATATAGTTATAGAGTGATATATACAGTTATATAGTCTTATATATAGTTATATAGTGTTATTGATT